AGGTTAAAACTAATTGCAACGTAAGTTGCAACATTAAAAGTTGCAACATATTAATTACAGTTCCCATCTTTAGTTGCAACTGTTATTAAACATGAATAATGCAACTTTCCTGGATGAGTATTATCAAATATAAGGATAGCCTACTCTTTTACTTGTTTAATAAAGTCTTTATTTGTCTACTAGCTATCACAATTTATATCAGGATATATTATAATGCAAGATTCAGTGTATACAAGCTACTCCCCATCAGGAAGTAAATCATTAGTAGCACAATCCTTTTCTAAAGTTGAAGTCATCTAATAGACTCACAGAGAAATCACTTACGTAACTACTAAAGCCTTACAACTTACGTGAAGTCAACTTTCATCTGCTAGATCTCAAGCCTTAATAACATCATCATTTGCATAAAAGACCAACTCATCATGGGTAACAAGAATGATTTCAAAAACATTATGTGAAAGTATAGGTAAGATGATCTGATTTAAATTTTCACCTTTGTAAGTAATTTTTCTTTTTGTAATTCTGCCTATTGTTCCAAAAATCGATATTTATTTGCTACTACATCTTCATGCTTATAACCATCAAAATAAATATTTTTTGAATGGTCTTTATATTTCTAACTGAGTATGCGCAACCATTCCTATGCCATTGAATATGATATGCTTCTATCCTAAAAGTAGAGATAACTTTATCCTCAATAAATTTTATGAAATCTGCAACATTTAACTTGAATTTGTGTATGTATAAATATTCATTAACTTGCAATTTAAGGTCTTTATTAAGGAGGAGAGATCTGACTTTTGTATGGCAACCATGTTTAGATGAAATAATCATTATATTATTAAGCTACTAGTTTGCCCAGAAGCGAATGAGTCATGTATGCCATAGACTTTTGTTTAAACTCTGGATAAGGAAGTTACTTGCATCTATTTTTATAAAATCTTGGTCTTAAACTAGATAAAGAAATTGACTTACTGTTCGAAGCCACAAATTATCTTTCTTTTTTTTAATAATGAATCTAAAGATTCTAATATGAATTCAATCATTATCATTGCTGCTATCATAGATATTATCAAATGTAAGATCATTATTATCTGTATTAGGCTTAGCAACTTTACCTGTTGAAAATATATCTGTGATCTTCTTAGAGCCTAAAGCTGTCTTTCGCAAATATGCCTTTTTATTATGCAATATTGATTGTGCATCACCTTTATATACTGGTCCACATGATATTTCAACCAATGCATGCCTTTTTTGCATTCTCAACCAATTGTTTTAGCATATTTGGTTGAAATTCTTATAATAATTGTATAATTTCATCACTATCAAATCGTGTTTCTTCATCTTCTGTCTAAAAGATATCAAATCGCAATTCATCAATTATATTAAGAGGTTCAGCATCTGATGGCTCATTGTCCTGTAATAAAAGTGTTTCATTAGAAATTTCCACTTGTTTTTAACACTTTTTGATAACATCTTAAGGTTATCTAATACATTTATTTTGTTTTGACAT